TGAAAATATTCCTGGCTTCTTTTTCTTTCCTAATTTTTTCTATTTGGATCGCTTTATCTGCACTGGGGTGTAAATTACGGGATATTGTCTGGTCTCTAAGGGACCTGTAGAGTTCTAACATATTGGCTTGGGCAGTTTTTCTACATACGAAGAATGATTTATAAATATGCCTCTCAAGACTGCCTTATGGGCCTGCTATAGAGAGGAGTGGTGTACACCCTGTGTATTGTTAAAATAAAAATATTCAATAAGGTCTTTTTCCACATTTTTACAAAAGGTGTCATCATTTCACAGTGAACTATTGAGACACCACGGATTACATCCTTTAAATGGAAATTTACCAAATAAAAGCATAGTAACTGGGGCATGGTTGGACCATGAAATATCCCCCATCTCGCAGCATTTTACTAGATTCAAAGCAGAGCCTTTTAAAAAAGTCAGATCTATTCTCGAATAGGAATGGTGTACCTGCGAGTAATGTGAGTAACATTTGTCACTGGGATGAAAGGTGCACCAACAGTCATACATGTCAAACTTAGATAATAATTTTGTCAAAGCCTTACATTTAGTTTGAAGAGATTTGAATCAAGGGGATTGTGATTTCAATGTTGTATCCATTTGCACATCTAAGATATGATAAGCGTCTCCACACATTATAGTTATCCCATTTTGTGTATCAGCTACTTTTGTCAACACTTTTTGTAAAAAATCTCTTTGGTTTTTGTTCAGTGCGTAGAAATTAACTATGGTACAGATTTCACCATTTAATAAACAAACCAATATTAAATATCTTCCCTCAGGGTCAGAATTTTTTTGCAGCAGTTCCAATGCTATTGCTTTATGAACATAGATAGAGACACCTTTATATTTAGAGACGATGGCCGAGTGATATTGTACCGGGAAAAACTTTATGCCAAATGTAGGTATTTTTTTGTTTTGGGAAGTGTGTTTCTTGAAGATAGAGAATAACAGCCATTTATTTTTTTGCTTCTTTCAAAATCATATGCCGTTTGTAGGGCATATTAAGCCCTCTCACATTTTTGGGAATTTATTTTCAGGATGAGAAATATAAATACATTGCGTGGGTACATCTAAACATTCCATTTATTGAAATTAATTGACACTGGAGAGTATTTAACCCCTTCAGGACGGAGTCAATAGTGCACGTTCTGATCAAAACAAAACATAAACAAAAACTGGAATTTGCGCTATATGTCTGTCCAACCGTAATTCATCGCTGTCACATTAAGTGCCCCCACACTTATTATATATCATTTTGTTCAGGGGAAACAGGGCTTTAATTTATCATTAACTATTCATATATGGAACATAATTTATTATGAATAAAATTTAAATAAAATTGAGAAAATAAGATTTTTTTTTAAATTTGTTTTTCCGTCTGACATTTTAGCTGTTAATGTCATAATACTGTTAGGTTTTACTGCAACAAAATGCACATATTTGTAATCAGTGATGTCTCACGAGTACAACAGTACCCCCCATTAACAGGTTTTATGGTGTTTTGGAAAGTTACAGGGTCAAATATAGAACGTTCAATTTTCAAATTGAAATTTGCCTGATTAGTAATGTTACCTTTGAGACGGTGTGGTAGCCCAGGAATGAGAATTACCCCCATAATGGCATACCATTTGAAAAAGTAGACAACCCAAGGTACTGAAAGTGGGGTATGTTTAGTCTTTTTTAGTAGCCACTTCATATTTGTTTTTGTGTGAAAAATGCAAAAAACTAATATTTGGCCAGTGTTTGTGACTAAGTGGCTACTAAGAAAGACTGAACATACCCCACTTGCAATACCTTGGGTTGTCTACTTTTGCAAATGGTATGCCATCATGGAGGTAATTCTTTCCTGACTACACTCTCAAAGGCAACATCCAATCTGGCAAATTTCAATGTCAAAAAAACGAAATGCAAGCCTTATATGTGACTCTCTAATAGTGATGTCCCGAACTGTTAAGCCGAACAGTTCGCGACGGACGCCACGGACTCATCATTGAGTAAACTTTGACCCTGTACCTCACAGTCAGCAGACACATTCCAGCCAATCAGCAGCAGACCCTCCCTCCCAGACCCTCCCACCTCCTGGACAGCATCCATTGTGAAGCTGCGTTCTTAGTGAGCTGTCCAGGAGGTGGAAGGGTCTTGGAGGGAGGGTCTGCTGCTGATTGGATGGCGAACAGTTCGGGACATCACTACTCTCTAACTTTCCAAAACACCATAAAACCTGTATATGGGGGGGTACTGTTATTCTCGGGAGACTTCACTAAATACAAATATTAGTGTTTTAAAACAGTAAAACATATTACAACAATAATATAGTCCATAAAAGTGTCGTTCATTTGTAAAAAATGCAAAAAACGTCACTTTTACTTAAAATATCATCGTTGTAATACAATTTACCAGTTTTAAACATTAATATTTGAGTTCAGCAAAGTCTCCCGAGTAAAACAGTATCCCCTATGTACAGGTTTTATGGTGTCTTGGAGAGTTACAGGGTCAAATATAGTGCTTGCTAATTAAAGTCTCTGCACTTTCTCCCTGTGTTGTCAGGCATGTCAATCAAATTTTTATTAATCAAATCACATAATTATGTTAAAAGAGTACTTAAATATGCAATTTTAATATATATGCATTTATAGGTATTTAAATTCTACGTGTATACTAATGTAATCTTTTATGTAATTATATGTATTTATCTATAAACAGAAAAAAGAAAGAGGCACTATATAATATCCCAAGCAAAAACCACAAAAGCAGTGCCAAAACACCCAGAAGTGTACCTCACATACACCAATACAATATAAACAAAGGGGTAAGTCTATACTGTATCAAATACTAGTATAGACTAAAGGGGTGGCACAACAAACATGAACCATACAACCTGTATACACTATAACACAGTTCTTCAAATAATCTAAAACATGAAAAAAATCACATAATAGTGAAGTATGTACAGGAATATATGATTCAGTCCCGTAGATAGAGAACTTACAAGACCGTGCTGTAGATCTGCGCTTGTCTCCCTTCCATAGGGTATTAAAGTAGCGTATTCTTTCTCAGTGGGCTTGTGTGTATGGACCAAAAAGGCGTAGATTCAGAACACCCAATCCTCAAATAAAAAGAGGTATATAGAGCAGTATTGCAAACAAAGATAGATTTATTAATACAAATTGCACTTACATCAAGTGAAGATTATAGCAGCATATCACCACTCACAAGTGGTACCGAGGAAAAGAAGTCCCTCTGTGATAGTATAAAAATATAAAAAGTAATTATATACTAAAAACAATAAAATAACAAAAAAGAAGAAAAAAGGTATTCCTGATCAATATCCAACGCGTTTCGAAGGGAGACAAGCGCAGATCTACAGCACGGTCTTGTAAGTTCTCTATCTACGGGACTGAATCATATATTCCTGTACATACTTCACTATTATGTGATTTTTTTCATGTTTTAGATTCTTTGAAGAACTGTGTTATAATGTATACAGGTTGTATGGTTCATGTTTGTTGTGCCACCCCTTTAGTCTATACTAGTATTTGATACAGTATAGACTTACCCCTTTGTTTATATGTATTTATCTATTTATATATATTTGCGGTTATTTGTATTTTATATATAGATAGATATATATAGAATGTCATTCTAAGTGTATTTTGTTACCAATATATATATTTTAATAACAAAATACAGTTAGAATGAAATGACATATATATATATATAATTTATATTAAATTTTGTTTCAATATTTTATTTATTTTATTATTTTATTTATTTTATTATTGAAATTATACGTAAATATATATATATATATATATATATATATATATATATATGTGTATATATCTATTATATATGTAATATATATACTTATTATATATATGTAACGTCATTCTAAGTGTATTTTAATATTAATATATATACTAATATTAGTATTAAAATACACTACGTATGACGTTATATATATATATAATATGTGTATATATATATAATATTATATATTATGTATATATGTATATAATACATATATTATATATATATATATATATATATATATATATAAAAATACATTTTAATTAATTTTACACGTTTATTTTTATTTTTTTTACTACTTCCCACCAGCAGGGGGACTGTCTGATATTTTAGACAGTCCCCCTGCTGGCAGATCCACAGCCAGCTATAGGGGGCCATGTGATCGCTCTTTGAGAGCGATCACATGGCCTCCACTTGCCGGAGGAGGGCTGCCTGGGCGGTCAGGCAGCCATCCAGAAGAGGATCGCGGCAGAGGTGAGTATGCCGGACCTCCCCTGGGCTTAAGCCGTTACGGCGTTCTATGCCACCGCAACGGCTTTAAAGCCCTTTAAAGCTGTGATGGCATAGAACGCCGTAACGGTGTTAAGGGGTTAAAATAACTAGCTTATATATATATGAATGGCACTGAGATGTATGAAGTTATGACAGCCCATAGAAAGTAAAGGGGATTTGATACAGCACAAAATAACAAATTAACCTAAAAACCCAAAAAGAAAAAACCACAAGGAAAATAGTAAAGTAAATGAAAAAACAAAACTAAAACTAAAACATAAGCATAAGCTTAAACCAAAGTATATACAACAGAAAACCCATAAATGGGACTTGGTACAAAAAAAATGTACATCTACGGGTTTACTAGCGGACAGTTGTAAGCTGACTCAAGGAGAGGGGGCATGACCGGAAGTGGAACGAGATGGTCGCATGAGCTGAGAGCTCTGCAACACGGGTGTGGATAACTCTAAAAGGCATTGATGTTTGGGGAAAAAAGGGGATTACTGCTCAATATGTCCAAAACTAAAAAGTAACAAGAAAAGGCTGAAAAGGCAAGGAAGGCTGAGAAGTTGAATTTCTTTGGCCAAAAACGACTCAAGCCTTCGAAACATGTGGCGCAAGGAAAACAAGATGGCGACGATGGGACCAGAGGCAGTAGCCCGCGATTGGATTCCGAGGTAATAACGGATGAAGAACCTCTCCCTACAATCATCTTACAGAAATCATTGGACAAATTGTCACAGGCACTGATCTCCACATGGCAAACCAGTGTAGAGGGCCTGAAGAAAGACATAAAGGAATTGGGATCTTGCACAGCACAGGTAGAAGCTAAAATGGAAGAAATAGTGGAAGCTCATAACTCTGCTGCTGATAAAATTAAGCAAATGGAGATCCAACTTACTTATTATGAGCAGAAAATAATGGATTTAGAAGATAGATCACGACACAGTAATCTTAGAATTCGAGGAGTTCCAGAATCAATTACAATAACAGAATTACCTAATTATATACTCAAGCTTTTTAAAACCCTGGCTCCTGAAATATCAACAGATATGTTTTTATTGGATCACCTGCACAGGGTTTCTAAACCTAAGCATAAACAAGCTACTTTACCCAGAAATGTCCTTCTTAAGGCACATTATTTTCACATTAAAAACCTGCTCTTGAAAAAGAGTCGTAACAAATCTGCTACCTGAGTATGCCGAGATCCGACTGTTCAACGAATTATCAGCGGCAACTTTAAAGCAGCGGAGCTAATTTCAGCAGGGTAACAGAAGTTCTCCGCACAATTCAAATGTCTTACCGCTGTGGGTCCCTACACGCCTAGTGATCCTCAGGAATGAACTTCTACAACGATAACATCGTCAGAAGCCGGACTAGCACTTTTGAAAAGCTGGTATGTTCCACTGAGCCTGGAATGCAGCTAAAATCACGCTTGAAGAACAATTGGTTTATATCTTCAAAAACTCACTGAAAAGCTCATCAAGTATACAAAATTTGCTAAGCTATAATATAATATGTTTGCTATATTGTAAAGGACCAGATATATTGATTGTGTGTTAGTATGAGTATGAGTTATATACAAGAAGTAATACTATATTGTATATAGTTTATAACATAAGCAATGCCAAAAAATCAAAGAAGGTGCTTAGATTATAGATTAGATTAGAAGCAATGGTAGTTAACAGCCCTTTTAGCTATATCTAGGCACCTACATGGACTAGCTGGCCCAGACCTTCGACTGTCTCCATAGAATCATGCTGAACACTGTCTCACCTTACTTCTATCTGTCAGCTACTCCTGGTGTCAGTTAAAGGGACACTCTATGGACTTAAACCATTTTATCTCATTGAATTGTTTATAGTACCATGTGTCCCCTCCATTCCATGTCAAACCATTTTGAATAGTTTAAAAAAATATTTATTTATTGAATTCCAACCACTTTGGCAAATCTCATATTACCAACGGCAAATGTGGAAATATTTGTTTTTTACTTTTTTAATGTGGCGGCTGGCTTGCAAATTCTGGCCAGCAGACACATAATTAACCCTTGCACTGTCAAGGGTTTTTAACTATTTGCCCACTGAATGTTTGCAAGCAAATAGTAAAAAAAAAAAATTAAAATTCCTTTCCCAGATTTGATGCATTTGGACCTGGATTTTGGCCATCTGGCTATGTTCATTCCAGCCAAAATCTGGACCATATTTAGGCCCGTTGGGGACTGAATTGCAAAATCTAAACATTGTTAAATAGCATGAACAATGTCTCGTTTTTGCCATCTAAATGGCCCCATACACAGCTGGATAGTTTTACCCCATTCAGGAGTGCCATTCAGACTTTAGTGAATTATCTTGTAAATAGCAGTCCATTGCCACCCACATACTGGCCAGTAATAGAGATATGTTGAGGCAGAGATTACACATACCAAATTACACTAGCAATTGGCAATCTATAATTGGGCTAAAAGTGTCACTCATTGCTTCTCAATCCAAAGCTTCCTCAAATAGCCCAATCAGCACATAGGAAATGGGCTGCTGGTGATGCTCATTGTCCATTAAAACATTTAAAACAGTTTAAGACTGAATGGAAAGACAGCACCATTAGACTCCAAGCACTATAAACACTTCAATGAGATGGAGCAGTTGCAATGCCTACAGTGTCCATTTACAAACTTCTAGTTCAAGCCCACTGTTCCTGTTCTGAAAAATAACAATTACTATCCAGGTCTATTTTTCAGATATCATTTGTCTTCCTGGCTGTGATAGTCATTACAACCTGCTCCAAATTATTATGCAAATTCTTTTTAAGTGTCACAAAGATTAAATATTTTGTTTTTCAGTTTAACTCATGGATGGCATTGTGTCTCAGGGCTCTTTTGATCACTGAAAACAATCTCGGACACCTGTGATAATTAGATTGCCAGGTGAGCCCAATTTAAGGAAAAACTACTAAAGGAGGGTGTTCCACATTATTAAGCAAAGCACCATTTTCATGCAATATGGGGAAGAAAAAGAATCTCTCTGCTGCCAAAAAGAGTGATATAGTTCAATGCCTTGGACGAGGTATGAAAACATTAGATATGTCATGAAAACTTAAGCGTGATCATAGCACTATTAAGAGATTTGTGGCTGATTCAGAGCACAGACGGGTATGTGCAGATAAAGGCACATTGAGGAAGATTTCTGCCAGATCCATGCATCGATCAAGGAAGCAGCTGCTAAAATACAATTACATAGCAGCAAACAGATATTTGAAGCTGCTGGTGCCTCTGGAGTCCCACGGACATCAAGGTGTAGAGTCCTCCAGAGCCTTGCAACTGTGCATAAACCTTCTATTCAGCCACTACTAACCAATAGAGATGTCCCAAACAGTTCGCCGGCGAATAGTTCCCGGCGAACATCGCATGTTCGCATTCGCTGCGGTGGGCGAACATATGCGATGTTCGGTCCGCCCCCTATTCCATATCATTGAGTAAACTTTGACAACCCACCCACCCGCCGCTCGGGGGTGGGGGTTGTCAAAGTTTACTCAATGATATGAGGGGGGGACCTACTGTCCTCCCCCCGGCCCCCACCCCTGAGCGGTGGGTGGGGGCCCTAAAAAAAACAATAGGGGGGGAACTTCTGTGTGTCCCCCGGCCCCCACCCCTGAGTGGTGTGTGGGGGCCCTAAATACTAAGAAGGAGGAGGACCTAAGGTCCTCCCCCCTGGCCCCCACCCCTGAGCGGTGGGTGGGGGCCCTAAATACTAAAAAGGGGGGGACCTAAGGTCCTCCCCCCTGGCCCCCACCCCTGAGCGGTGGGTGGGGGCCCTAAATACTAAAAAGGGGG